TTGGTTCCAAAATTCTCAATGAAGCCCGGTGGAGGTTCCATGTAGACTTTTACCTCTAAGTCTCCATTCAAAAAAGCATTCTTCACATCCAGTTGATTCAGAGGCCAATCAAGATTAGCAGCAACAGATAAGAGTACCCGAACTGTGTTTAGTTTCGCTACTGGAGAGAAAGTCTCTGAGTAGTCCACTCCATATGTTTGAGTGAAGCCTTTAGCCACCAGGCGAGTCTTGTATCTTTCCAAGGATCCATCTGAATTGTACTTGACAGTAAAAACCCATTTACAGCCAACAACTGTCTTCCCATCTGGCAGATCCACTTTTTCCCAAGTAGCATTCTTCTCTAGAGCTCTCATCGAGGATCGCTTCTTTCCACTCCGGAACATTTAGAGCCTCTTGGACACTATTAGGAATAACCACACTAGACACTTGTGAAATAAAGGCACAATATGAGGGTGAAATATTTTTGTAAGACACAAAATTCGACAATGAATGTTTTGTACAAGTCCTAACACTTTTCCTAAGAGCAATGGGAAGATCAAGATGACTAGAATGGTTTGACTCAGAATTACCTGGAGGATTATGCTCAGGAATTATTGACGAATCATCCTGAATGTCATGATCTTACCTTTGATTAGACTCTTGGTGGTGCTGGGGAATAGTGTCTCGTCTTTTCTGCGCTTGATACTCCTTTGAATAAACAAGACCTTTAAATCGTTTCGCACACATCTCTGTTGTTTTAGTATTTTAATTCTGAGATGGCATTACCACAGGTTGTCTATTTTCAACATTTAATTCATTTGTTTCCACTGATTTTCCTTCGGGTAATTGTTTGTGGGAAACATCATCTTGAGTAAACTCAACCGTTAAACCATCTAGAAATTCATCTTCACTCGAACTCTCCCTCTGAAGATGGGAATTGTTGTAATAGGGCTGTCCCTCAAAGAATGTGACATCCATAGAAAGAAACATTTGTTTGGAAACGGGATCAAAAACATTTATACCCTTTCTGATTTATAGGATAACCTACGAAAATGCACTTATGTGCTTTTGAATCAAGCTTAGAACGTCTAGGATCATGATTATGGACAAAAGCTACACTTCCAAAAATTCTTAAGGGAATATATGTTATTAGCCGAGTGGCTGGAATGCATTCACTTAAGAGTTTCATTGGTGTTTTAAAGTTCAAAATTCTTGTAGGCAACCTATTGATTAAATATGTGGCTGTTAACACTGCTTCTCCCCAAAGGTACTTGGGAACTTTAGCTTTAAAACTTATAGCTCTAACAACTTCAAGAAGATGTCTGTTTTTTCTCTCAGCCATCCCGTTTTGTTGAGGTGTATTGGTACAAGAACTTTGATGTACAATCCCTTTTTCAGCAAAAAAATGCCCCAACACATTGTTAAAAAATTCTTTGCCGTTATCACTTCGGAAAATTTTAATCTGAGTCTGAAATTGTGTTTAAACCATATTATGGAAATTTTTAAACACTATTTCAGCATCGGATTTTTCTTTTAAAAGGAAGACCCAAGTGACTCTAGTATGGTCATCAATGAAAGTAATAAACCAGCGTTTTCCAGAAAAAGTTGACACTCGAGAAGGACCCCAAATATCACTATGAATCATGGTAAATGGTTTCGATTTTTTATATGGTTGTGATGGAAAAACGGCACGATGATGCATTGCTAATTCACAAGATTCACATCGAAACATAGAAGGATTTTTATTCATGAATAACTTGGGTAACAAATGCTTTAAATATTGAAAACTTGGATGTCCTAATCGATAATGCCATAACATAATCTAACTGTCACTAGAAACAGAAATAGAATTGAAACAGGCCTGTTGATCTTGTCTTCCAAAGGTTGATCCATTATTGAAGAGGTAGAGACCACTATCCAGTCTAGCACCCCCAATCATCTTCTCCGAGGTTAAATCCTGAAATTCACAACGAGAAGACCAAAAATTAACTTGGCAGTTATGATCATGTGTCAACTTACTGATAGACAAGAGGTTGTAGGACAAATGAGGAACATGCAGGACATTTTTTAGAATTAGAGAAGGGGAAATGATAACTATTCCCAGCAACCGTAGCAAAGGAGCCATCTGCAATTTAACTCTTTGATTCCCTGCACAAGGTGTATATGAAGAGAAAAATTGTGAATTGCCGGTCATATGATCGGTAGCACCTGCATCTAATATCCAGGAGCCATCTGATTTGGTACAGGCAGCGGCTACAGTGAAAAAATTACCTTACTGTTCTAGAGAACAAGAGGAGTTAGAGTTTCCTAAAGATTGGGACCGAAACATTTTTTGTAGGTGCTCTATCTGTTCCTTTGTAAAAGGAAGGGATGCTGATGGAGATTCCTGCTCTGGATCCGTGCGGCTTGCTTGGAATGCGCGGAACTCTCCCCCTGACCTGGTGTCACTGCCGGGTCTTTTCTTCAGGTTTGCTGGTTTCTCGTGTAGTTTCCACTAGTTTTCCCGAGTATGCCATGCTTTCCTGCAATGGTCACACCAGGGCCTCTGTTTACCTCCATGCCTGTCTCCTTCTGGTTCTGTGCCTCGGATTACAAGGGCAGATCTCTCACCATCTATCTTTGGTTTATCAATGTTTTTCAACATCACATGTCGCCGTGCTTCCTCTCTACGTACCTCTGCAAATACCTCTTATTGTTAGCAGGGGTCTTTTTCCTAATATACGTCCTTGAACCTCATCAAGATCTTTATTCAACCCAGCCAAGAACACAAATACCCGGCCTCTCTCAACCTTCTTTTTGTACCGAGCATTGTCATTAGAGTTTTCCCATTGTTCATCTTCGAACATATCCAATTCCTGCCATACTGTCATCATATCATTATAGTAGGTCGTTACCTCACGGTCACCTTGCTGCATCTTTCACATCCGAGTGTTCAACTCGAACAATTATGAGTGGTTGTCCAGATCGGAATACGTTTCCGGACTGCCTCCCAAACGTCACGGGCTGTGGGCAAGAACATGAAGGGCTTTCCAACAACCGGATCCATCAAGTTGATCAACCAGGCAGTCACCATGGAGTTTTCTGAGCGCCATTGCCTGTATTTTGGATCACTGGTGGCTGGAGGTTTTTCTTCTCCATTCAAATGCCCATATTTCCCTTTGTTGTCGATCACCAGTCGCACGAATTGAGACCACTCAAGGTAATTCTTTCCATTCAATTTGTGAACGGTAATTTGAAGGGAATTTTCAGAGAAGGAAACTATCGAATTTGACTGTGAAATTGTCCCCGATGAAGCCATACCACTGGTGGCATCTGAAGTGGCTGAACTAGACCCAACCATGGCGGCTTTAAAATTCATAATCGAGCCCTAGGCTCTGATACCATATAGGAAAATATCAGGGACAGAAAGAGAGAATAGCTCTCTGTTTTTTCTTATTAATTCCAGAGAATAGAACACACTTAAATAGAAAAGGAGAATACACGTTAAACCCTAGAATCCCACATAATCAGGGATTTTATTCTATTCTTTGATTCTTTCCTAGTTTATTCAAATATCAAATCCTAACTTGACAATCCTGATTTGCCGACACCTTACAACTTCCCTTTTTTTATTTGGTTCTATAGGAGTCTCTACTGGTTTGCAACCCAATATCCTGGTTTCTTTCAAGAGATCTAGTACATATTTTCTCAGCGAGACTGAAATGCCACTTATGTTTCTAGCAATCTTCATTCCAAGAAAATACCTGAGGCTCCCAAGGTTTTTAATCTCGAACTCTTCTGCTAGTTTCCTCTTGAGTCTTTGTTCTTCTTCAAGACCATTACCAGTCAAAATAATGTCATCGACATACACAAAGAGTATTGTAATCTTACCGTCCTTATGTTGATAGAATAGTGTGTGATCACCTGCAGCCTGCTTGTATCCCTGCTCTTTGATCACCTTAGTAAATGGGTCAAACCAAGCTCGTGGTGATTGCTTTAGGCCATATAGTGATTTCTTCAACCTACACACTTCATCACACCTTCCATCTTTGTTGAACCCGGGTGGTAGCTCCATATAAGCTTCTTCCTCCAGGTCACCATTAAGAAATGTGTTTTTCACATCAAGTTGTTGCATTAGCCAATACAAATTTGTTGCTAGAGACAACAAAACTCAAACAGTAATAATTTTGGCTACAGGTGCGAAGGTCTCCTGATAATCTATTCCATACGTTTGTGTGTAGCCCTTAGCCACCAACTGAGCTTTATATCTTTTAATTGAACCATCTGCCTTATACTTGACTGTGAGTACCCACTTGCACCCAACTGGAATCTTATCTCTAGGTTTTTTCACAATGTCCCACGTGCCATTCTTCTTTAGAGCTCCCATTTCTTCCAAGATAGCTTGTCTCCATTTCGCTTTTTCCATTGCCTCCTGGATATCTCTCAGTATTTCCACACTTGCCATATTAGACACCAAGGCTTTCATTGGTCCTGACAAATGATCATACCCTACATAATTGGTTATAGGGTGTTTGGTATAGGATCTGGTACCCCTTCTCAGAGAAATAGGAATGCCTAAATCCTCCAACTCCCCCTTAAGACCAGACTCTGGGTCAGATTCTTGGTGGTGAGTAACCTTCTAGTTTCCTCGAACTTTTTGGTTCTTCCTGTGAATAGGTTAAGATCAAATGGTTGCAGGCCACCCTCCTTAATTTTTTTATATTCTTGCATTATAGACTTTGGTGCTCAAAGGTTTTGAACTTGTGTGGGATTGTCAGGCTGTGAAGGATTATCTACCTGTTCTATGATGGTGTGTGGTTGATCATAGCCAGGTGGTTCGAGTACGGGTAGATTTGACTGAACATTATCCGGAATTTTAGTGGAATTTTCTATGGTAATGGTCGGGAAATTTTCAGGCTCTATAACAGGTGGATTTGTCTGATTTAAGCCAGGAATATTTTTAAACTTTTTACCATGATCTCGACTTCAGGGGATGTTTCATTAAGACTAGAATCCCTAGGTTCACGGCTTGTAATTTCTGGAGGAGGAGCAAAATCCCAAAAAAATTCCGAAGACTTAAGGTCCAAAGATTCGGAGCTTGGAACTACAGGATATTTTGACTTCTCCCAAAAATTTTCTTCCCATATTTTCTCCCCTTGAAGGAAATTTTTGGTAAACGCAGGTTGATCTTCAAAGAAGGTGACATCCCTAGACACAAAGTACTTCCTCTTTTCTATGGAGCAGCACTTATAGCCCTTTTTAGTTGCAGAATACCCCAAAAAAAATACATTTATGAGCTCTAGGGTCTATTTTCCCTCGGTTAGGATCAAGGTTATGGACAAAGGCAACACAACCCAACACTTTTAACTCTAGAGAAGATGGAACACGAGCCTCTGGGTAGGATTTGTGTAGGCATTCTATCGGTGTTTGAAATTTGAGAACTCGAGAGGGTACCCTATTTACCAAGTATGTTGCAGTTAGAACTGCATCACCCCAAAAACGCTTAGGAAGATTTGCTGTAAGCAGTAATGACTGGGCAACTTCTGAAAGATGACGATTTTTTCTTTCGGCCACTCCATTTTGTTGTGGTGTATCAACACATGAGCTTTGATGGATAATTCCATTATTTCTCACAAACTCCCCTAACATAGCATTGAAAAATTCGGTGCCATTATTAGTTCTCAAGAATTTAATATTCTCATCAAATTGTGTTTTAATCATTGAATGAAATTCTTTGAAAACATGTGTGTGGTCATCGGTGAAGGTTATGAACCATTTTTTGTTGGTGAGACTTGAAATACGAGAAGGTCCCCAAATATCACTATGAATAAGGATGAATGGTTTTGATGCACGGTATGGTAAAGGAAAGAGGTGAACACGAGTGTGCTTTGCTAATTGACAAACTTCACATTGAAATTTTTTCATTATTCTTGAACAAAGATGGAAACAAAAACTTCAAATAAGGGAAACTAGGATGTCCTAATCTATAATGCAATAACATAACTTTTTGAGTTCTAGATATAGATTTGCTTGTAACCATTTGAGCTTTCCCATTAACGCCAGAATCATCCTTAAAGTAGATTCGGCACATGGAGAACCCCGATCATCGGTCTTGAAAGATACAAACAGTTGGCAGAAAAATTACCACACAGTCTAAGTCTTTGGTTATCTTACTTATGGACAAAAGATTAAAACTTAGATTCGGCACATGGAGAACCCCTTTTAACATGACACTAGGTCCAATTCTTATAGTCCCAGTACCGGCCACCACAGAGGAGGTCCCATCAGCAATCTGCACTTTGCGGTTTCCAGCGCTGGGAATATATGTGGTGTAAAGTTTACCATAACTAGTCATGTGGTCCGTTGCTCCTGAGTCAATAATCCATGGTTCTTTTTTTTGCCAAGCCACAAAAAACAGTTAATGCTTTACCTCTTTGAGCCAAGAGAGATGATGAGTGGGAAGATGATTGTGTCATCATCTTCTGCCTTAATTGTTCCAACTGTTCCTTGGAGAAAACCGGTGCTGCAGTAGCTGGAGTAATTAATTCTTCATCAGTTTTCTCGGCTGCTGCCTGAAATCCCTTTCCTTCACGTCCACGGTTCCGAGGTGTCCAGTTGGTCGGTTTGTCATGTAGTTTCCAACAAGTCTCCTTGGTATGATAAGGTTTCTTGCAATGTTCGCACCACTTCTTGTTATTTTTTCCTTCCCCCAGATTCTCTTGTACACGATCATGAACAACAAGTACATAGCTCTCTAAATTTTGCATATTTCCTCCAAGCATGACCTTCTTTCTTGTTTCTTCTCTACGCACCTCAGCCAAAATTTCTTCAATTTGGGACAGAGGTCTCATTCCTAGCAATCGGCCACGGACTTCATCCAAGTCTTTATTAAGTCTTGCAAAAAAATCATATATCCGGTTTTGATCTATCATCCTTCTATACAAGATTGCATCTTCGGGGTCTTTCCAAGATGGAGATGAGAAGAGATCCAATTCTTGCCAAAGTCTTGCCAGCTCATGATATTGTGTAACATCACTCTCCCCCTGCTTCAGATTTCTCACCTTGTTTCTCAATTTGAACATCTGTGAGGCATTCTCTAAATCAGAATAGGCCAAGTTTACAGCATCCCCGTTTCTTTTTTGCCGTGGGAAACAATTTGTAGGTATCTGCAATGTTGTCTTCCATCGAGTGAATCAACCACGCCATCACCGTGGAGTTTTGAGGTTCCCAATTCGCATAAGAAGGGTCTTCAATTTTGAGCTACGGAATTGAACCATCCAAATAGCCCAATCTTCCTTTTCCCCGTAAAACCATCAACACTGAACGAGACCACTTAAGAAAATTCTTTCCATTTAATTTGTGGGTGGTAATTTGTAGAGATATATGGTTAGAACTTTCGGGGTTCATGGAAGTGGGTTGAGAAATAGCAGTGGGAGCAATTGTGGAGGTAGTCTGTGAGGTGTTGAAACTTTCCTTAGGGACATCGCCTCCGCTTGCTCCAGTCAAAGCCCTCCTATACGCTGCCATCTACAACTTGGAGTTCAAGAATGTCCAGACTTAACCGGGTCTGATACCATGTAGCAAGAACCCGAGGAAATAGCACTAGGGGACAAACACTGCTAGAAGAATGAAAATTATAGTTCTCTCATTCATTTCCTAGGCATGTACACCGGCCTCCTTATATAGATAAGCTAGGGAACAACAAAAAAAGGAAACAAGATAAATAAGGAAATAAATAAAAAAAAAGAGGGATCCTGCCTAATCACCTATCCCAAAACTTTAGGGAAATCATTCAAAGTCAACTAATAACTTTCCCCCACAATTATTCCATACTCGGCTACAAAAACACATGAAATAATGCATAAAGTCTAGAAGTGAGAAATGTGGTAAGTCTTAGTCTCAGTCTAACACTCATTTTTTTTTCTTTTTAATACAACTTTAATCCTTGAGTCTTAGTCTTTTTTTTTTTTTTTTTTTTAATACGTCTTTAATCCTTGAGTCTTAGTCTAACACTCTAAACGAAACTAAACATAGCAATTTAAGTCTTGTTAAAACTAACTAATCAGCAATTATAAATAGCTAATTTTGTTTTTGATAATATAGATAACTAATTAAAAATATAAAAAAAACCAGAAATTACAAACTAAACAGCATAAGTATACGATATAGTACATATAGTTATATACTTTATAATAATGATGTATAACATAACATAACCGAATGAAGTTTTATGGATTTTTTGTCCATCTCAAACTTGCTTTTGTACTTTTTCTTTGTTTCAATGAAGTTTTATCTTTACCAAATAACCAAATAAGTATGTTATATAATATTAATATAACATAGAAAAAATAAAAAACTAAAAGCATTGCCTATAAAGAA